CGCTCGCCCAGATCTCTCGCCCAAGAAAATATTGCCACCACCTCTTCCGAGTAACTTCGACATGCGCAGCTCGGACGGCACATCGCCATCGCAATCGCCTTGCGCACGCCCCGCATCTCGGAGGAGGAGGAAGGGGACGAGCAGGGGGGGGAAGATGAGGGAGAGCAAGAGGGAGAGAAGGAGGAGGAGGATGGAGGAGGAGGAGGAGGAGGACGGGAAGGAGGAGGAGTTGTAGTAGCAGTACCTCCGAGGACGAGGTGGTTCTTACTCTTCGATCGAACTGTTGCGCCACCATCCTGCGGCCTCGGCGCGTGACCCTGAGCGTTCACGCCCCCAGGGGCTGCCGCTCCCATGCTCGCATCCTCCACCTGCCCCTCCACACCCTCCCAAGGAATCCCTGAAATCAATCCTTCGACACTCGATCCTTGGAGCCCCATGGAAGTCATCCGTCATCCATTTTCTCCTCCTCCTCCACATTATCGATACTCTCAAAAAATGATAATTATCTAAAAATGAAGGTTCAATGGGGACTCTTGGAAGCCCTCCAGAGGCGATGCCGAAACAAGGGCCCCAGTCTTGAGTAAAAGGTGAGGAAGTATTGAGCAGGAGCGACACGGGAGGACGGAAGGGGAAGGGAGGAGGGAGGAGGGAGGCAGGAGGAGGGAGGAGACAAGGGGGACGAAAAGGGAAAGGAGGAGGGAGGAAGAGGAAGGAAAGAAAGACGGGAGAGGAAGGAGGGAGGAGGGAGAAGGGAGGAAGAGGGAGGAATAGAGTGGGGGAAGGCGGGAGGAGGAGGATAGGAGGAGGAGGAGGAGCAGGGGGAGGAGGAGGAGGAGGAGGGAGGAGGGAGGAGAGAGGGAGAAGGGGGCAGGGAGGAGGAGGGAGGAAAGAGGGCGGAGAGGATGAGGGAGGAGAGGAAGGAGAGGAAGAGGGGGTGGGGGGAGGGAGGAGGGGGAGAACGAAGAGGAGGAGGAGAAGGAGGAGAAGGAGGAGGAGGAGGAAAGTCTCGAGCGGGAGCGCTGGTTTTGTCGGGACGGGGGCTGTCGGCGGCGAGCAAGAGCACCGCCTCGATTCAAAAAGGGAGGAGGTCTCGAGCGGCAGCGCTGTTGCTGCTGGGGGGAGGCGCCGCTGAGAGAAAGACTGAGTAGCGCGCCTGTCCAACGTAAAACGGGAGGAAGTCTCGAGCGGGAGCGCTGGTCTTGTCGAGACGGCTGCGCTCGGCGGCGAGCGAGAGCACCGGCCCTGAGTAAAAAAAGAGGAGGTCTCGGACACGAGCGCTGCTGCTGTTGGAGGGCCAGTTTGGGCGGCCTCCCAAACCGCTTGAGAGTGAGCTTCATTTTCATATATATATATATATAGAGAGAGAGGGGAACGCTGCGCGGGCTGGTTTTCGCAGCCCGCACAATATCAAAACTGAACGTTTCACCGAGGCGAAACTATCACTTTATATAGAAACCTATCAAAACACACTGTGTTTTGCTATTTTTTGCAAAGCGCACGGCAGAAAAAAAACAAAAAAAAAAAAAAAAAAAAAAAAAAAAAAAAAAAAAAAAAAAAAAAAAAAAAAAAAAAAAAAAAAAAACGTAAAACAAACACACCCAAGCAAGGATTTTAAAGAAAATCGCAGAACGCATTAAACAACAATTGATAAGTATTGCGTTTGTACCACTATTCTGCGGTTCTAAACAGAAAACAAATTATTTTCATTATAAACAGAAGAACAAAACGCAAAACATATGTTTTCACATATTTCCTGGTATATCATTTCCATTAGGAAATACTATATAATTCATACTTAGAGAAACGATAAGGAAACGCATCCTCTTCAGACTTCTAACGTTTGAAACAGAAAAAAAATCAAGATAAACATAATAGTTGTTTAACGATCTTCTTGTTTGCCATTTTCATTAGGAAGTGCACTTAGGGAACCGATAACGAAACGCGTTTGTACCATAATTCTAACGTTTGAAACAGAAATACACATAATTTCATTTGTTATCAACAAAAAAATGTCTACTTTAAAAAATACTGTTTGACAATTTTCTTATTGGCCATCTCCATTAGGAAATGCTATATATCGCAAATTCTAAGAATCTGAGGGCTGGCGAAATAGCATCAGCTGTCTGCATATAAGGTATGTCACATAAGTGCAATCTCTTTTCTACACAGCGCTTTATCAATGCATCAGCAAAGTCTCAAATGCACAAATCAAATTGCGCGACAACAATATCATATATGATGCAATCGTAATCTACTCAATCCTCTGCTTTTTGGTTAGCCGCCTATCTGGCTTAACCAATTCTTCCTTTTTCAATGAACGATAACAAGCTTGGCTGTTTCATCATATTCATGAGAAAAATAAAATTAACGACTTTGCACGTCCAGACTTCATATTCGATTGGTTCCATATGCGGCAGCTCTTCCTTTACCTTTGCATATAGCTGTTTATAAGTGAACCCAGCATATTGACACACCTTTTCCATCAGTCTGACATTTGGCCCTGCTAAATCGCATGGCATTTCGTCCGGCACGTCAATCTCGGCATCATATGCAATAAAGATCCAAAGAAGAATATGTACTGCCCTGAGTGCTCTAATGCCTGTCACCTTTGAAAAGTTGTTGAATGATTCTGCAAACGATTCAAATATCTTCTCCGTTATATCGAATTCCCGCATGAAGTCTCGTACCCAGTCAGTGTGGCACCCGTAATTGACATTGCAAAGCAGAGCACTACGTTTCACTTCAGATGTTGAACCTTCTGCAATTTTCAATCCTTTGCTTTCATTCTCTGCAGCCAAGATGACGTATCGCATTCTGTCGACTGTAAGATTGCTCAAAGCATTGTCAAAACATTGTTTGATTGTTGGTTCTTGAAATAATTTTGACAGAGATGAAGAACGTCCGCTGGCTATCATACAAAGCATACTTGTTAATCCTCCTGGGTATACACCCTTCTCTAAATTGAGTCCTTCTACATATTCGCGCAACGCTTTAGGCACTGGATCCCACTGAACACGGGGATTGTGAACATGAGACAAACTCATCATTGAAGAGATACAACACGAGCTGTTTTCCATTGCTTTTGTAACTGCACATTTTTGTAACTTGCCTGTTTTGCTATACAACTCAGACAAAACAAATATGTGATTCCGCACCTTCTCAACAGATTGGGACACGCGAAAATCTGATATATCTTCATGTGTATTTCTTTGAGCTCTCTCGATCCAAAGCGCCACCCAAAAATGTGCTCCTCGGCGACAAAAGCCCCCATCGTTTGTGGGAGGCAATTGCCTAACAACATGTATGAGAAAGGTATCTGGGTTTTCGCTCATTAGATCGTCAAGATATGCTCGCCCAGTTCTCGCTGCATCCATTTGGTCGAACCTTCAGCGGGGACCATCGGAAGGTTGCCCAGCCACGTCTGGTCTGGCCCGACGTCCTCAGGCATGCGGTTCTTCACGATCGGCTGGGACAAGAGCGGGCCGCGCTTCTTGTCCTTCGCACGCACGATCGCCTCCTCAAAAGTGATGCCGCGATCATCTGGCACCGAGAAGAACCGCGCGAAGCTGTCGGCTCTGGAGTTGTGAGCACTGGCCATGATCGGGAGTTGTGATCACTGGCCGCGCAAAGCTTTCAGCTTGAGAAAAAACTTACGGAACAGGCGTAGGCGGTGATCACTCGAGAGGCTTGTGCGGGGGGAGGGGAGGGGGAGGGGATAGTACATGCTCTCTGGGACCTGACGCAATGAGCCAACTGAAATAACTAACCTCAGCTCTGCATCAATATGATTTCTTCTGGGAACTTAAAAACTTTTTTTTTTTCAAAAAAAAAAAAAAAAAAAAAAAAAAAAAAAAAAAAAAAAAAAAAAAAAAAAAAAAAAAAAAAAACCTGGGGAAGTCCTGGAAATATTTCGCAATTGATTGTTTTTCCTCAAGCTAGGCGCGGCCGCCATTCGACATACCTGAGACGGACGATCCTTTTTGCTGTGGACGCGTCCTTACACAGGACGAGGTGCACTTGATATTCTATAATGCTGAGCTTGCGCGGCAGCTATGGGAAAAGGACCCGGGCCCGGATCAAATTACCAGAAAAGACTGCGTAGCATTGGCTCCCAGGGCGGGCAGGGTGGGAAGCCTTGAAACCAGAATGGCCGCGAGAGGGGAGAGCAGCAGCAGGGGCGACAAGCAGAGGAGAAAGAAGGAAGGGGTGGAGCCCCGCTCGCTTGGCCGCTCGACGCGGAGGAAAACTGCATCCAAAGATAATCATTCCTCAAGCTAGGCGCGGCCACCATTCGACATACCTGAGACAGACGATCCTTTTTGCTGAGGACGCGTCCTTACACAGGACGAGGTGCACTTGATATTCTATAATGCTGAGCTTGCGCGGCAGCGATGGGAAAAGGACCCGGGACGGATCAAATTACCAGAAAAGACTGCGTAGCATTGGCTCCCACCCCCAAATCATTGTCATTGGGTGGGCGGGCTGGGGAGAAAAAAGAGAAAGGAAGAATATTAGCTGGGCGCCCGACTCGAACAGGCCACGCGAGAGACGAGGTGCCGCAGGTCCGCCGCCGCGAAATGTGCAGCACGTTGGCGGACGGCGGCGGGCACGGCCCCACGTTGACGCAAGAGAGAGCCGTGCTTTTCATAGATGCGCACCGACTCTCGAGCGCGCCATCTTCCCCGCTGCTGGATCTGATCCAGGCTGCGCAATTGCTCCAAGGCATCGTGCGAGGGGCCTCCGTGCCGAAGCTGGCGAGGCACAGAGAAAACGTGGCAAAGGCCTAAGTCGGAGGCCACCCCTCGCACCATCCTCTCGTATGCACTGAGATTCAAAGGAGCAAAAAGCTTGGCTGCGTCTGCTCGGCCCCTACGAAGGGCAAGCAGCGTAGCCGGAACCTGACGCCTGAGAGGGACAGGCGTGCCAGCAACGACAGCGCGGTCGAACTCATTCGTCTTAGAGGGCACTCCGCCTGTGAGAGGCGCGATGATGACGGAGACCTGGCCCCCTGCGCTCCCGTGGACGTCGCCCGCGGTGATGGAGAGCACCTCACTGGGCCGCAAGTACAGATCAAACTGGACGATCATGGCCACGGCAGCGAGGGCCCCCAGTGGCGAGCGCCCCGAGAGGGCTGCCACGCAGGCGACCACGGCGTCGAAGGGGGCGGGCATCCTAGGATGCCGAGGCAGCTTGGCGCACCAGCCCGCCAGGGCGTCCTTGGATCGCACGAACTGAGGCTTGGCCACTGCCCATCCACGTAGTCGAGCAAGGCCGTAGAGAGCATTGCGAGCCATGTACTGAGGTGAACCAGAGAAGAAGAGGTGCTCGATGTACAGGTTTATTGTCGTGTCGGCGCACTTGGGGTCGTCAAAGAGAAGACGCCTGCGCCGTGCCCAGGCCTCGAAGTCGGCGACCGCCTGCTGATACTTTGTCAGGGTCGCTGGCCGCAACGAGGCCGCACGTAGGAAATCTCCCGGCGGCACTCGACGGGCTTGCCGCTGCTGCTCGGCGCGGTCCACGGCCGCTGCCGCTCGCCTGCGGCGCTCCGCCGCCAGCGCCCGGCGGCCCCGCGCCTGGCCTCCGCCCGGGGGCGGGGCGGCGCCGCGAGGCCCGCCCGCCGCCCGCGGGGCGGGGGCGCGGGTCGAGCGCGGAGGCCCAGGCGGCTCGCCAGGGGAGCCTGAACCTCCGCGGGCAGAGCGGGAGCCCCGGGGCGCGGAGGCGGACCTCGCCCGACGCGGCTGCCAGGACCCCATCCCAAGTCGCGAGGTCTCTGGGCGCGGCTCGGCCATAGGCGGACCTCGGGGCGGAGAGGGGGGCGATGCGCACGAGCTCTCGGCACCACTCTGGGAGGTACGCGCCAGCCAAGGCAGTCCGCCAAACCCAACCTCTCGTCGGATGTCGGACTTTGCCCTGAAGAACCTCGCGATGCGGCTGGCAGCACTGGCAGCGGCGGCCCAGCAGCTCTAGGTTGGGGAGGGTGCCGGCGATTGCCCCCGGCTTCTTGAAGGGCGCCCCGAAGCGGCAGGAATCGCACTCGATCCTGCCGGGCCTGTGGTAGCGGAGCTCCCTCTCCAGGGGACGCCAGCGCCAAACACGGCTGGGGCCAGGGTTCTCGAGGAGGACGAAAATGTCGAGCTTCCCGCAGAGCTTGAGCACCCGCACGGCGAAACTGACAAGAGCGAGGTCTGCCGGCCGAGGGGGCCGATTGCCCCCGGCCGGCACCCAGTGGGTACACGGAAGGCCGATATGCATGCACCAAAAGCGGCGCTGGGTAATCCAAGCCAAGACAGCGTTACGGACTCCAGGATGCGTGAGGTCGCGATGCTTCCCGTGTGTAATGTCCAGAGGGCATGCGATACGAAGACCGGCCTCGTGGAAGGCCCCAGATAGGTTCGCGCCTCCGGCAAATAATTCCAGGAAGCTGGTACGCCCAGCACGGTGGCCCCGCGGGGCCGTAGACGGAGACCCCGAGGGGCACCACTTGCGAGGCCCGCTGCCAGCCCGAGGAGGAGCTGAAGAACTTGATGACCCAGTTTGGGGACCCTGACTTGGCGTTGCTGCCGATGGCCTGGCCCACGACGCCCAAGAAGACGAGGAAGCGGGGGGCCCAGCCAGGGGTCGCTGATGAGCCGATGCCGTTGGAGTCCCAATATGAGGCCAGTGACCCGACGTAGAGCTCGATGGCCCGATCTGTGAACGATAACCTGTAAATGGTGTCGACGAAGTAGAGCACGATGGAGGATGGGAAGGACAGGATGGGAGCACCGACTCAGCTGGGGTGGTAGAGAGGATGATCCCTTGTGCGAGGTCCTCGCTCCACTGTCCAGTGCAACCGATAGGTTTCTCCCCAAGCCCTGGCGGCTCGGAGACGCGGCTCGAGGCAGGCCGAGTCGCGAAGGCGACGCTGGCGACGGGGCAGGGCCCGGGCACGTCAGGCCCGGGGCCGGGCAAGCTGCCGCTGAGCCTCAGGACGGGCGCGCACCTGCTGGGTGCCGGCGCGCAGGCCCTGAAGCCGGCACCGCGGATCCAGCCAGGCAGGAGCTCGCGGCGGTCGGCGGCCCGGCTCCCCCAGTCGGCAACGTTCACACATCCTGGAACGCGTCGCACTCGCCAGGTGATCTCGGCCCCCAGCTGCAGGGCGCCAGCACGACGACTTTGGGCGAGGAGCTCTCGGTTGCTGGCACGGCCCTTCTCGAAAGACTGCACGCTGGAGAGGTTGTCAGAGAGGCTCAGGAGCTCGGTCCCATGGCAGTTGGCCTGCCGGGCGGCAGCCCCCAGACCGATCACCGAGGCCCGCGCCTCCAGGCTGTGGATGCGACCTGGATGGCGCCAGGCGCCGCGGAAAGCCTCGGCCCACCGCTGCGGGTCGACCAGCTCGGGCGGCAGCGGGGGCGGGGGGTGGCCCACCTCCATCTCCTGACGACGGCGGCGGGCTCGCGCCTGTCGGCGGGGCCGGCCCGCGCCTGCATCGCCGAGCTCGTCGTAGTACAGGTCGGAGACGTCGTCCAGCCCTGCAGCGCGGCCCAGGTAGGCGTCCCTGTCGGGGTCGCCCGAGACCTCGACCTCCTTGAAGCGCTGCCTCTCGCGCCACCGCGACACGCCAAGGACCTCGTGCCCCAAGAGCTCGGCCTCGCAGACGGCGCAGCCCAGCATTGAGCTGTCCGCGGTAAAAGACACTGGCGCAGGGGGTCGGCGCAGGTCCACCTGGCCAAGAAACACGAGGCCAGCGGCGCAGCGAAGCTCCGTCACCGCGCTGGGCGGCAAACGCGAGACGCCCTCCATCGGGCCAGACTCGAGGTAGGCGTAGCACTCGCCCAGGACACTGAGGGCAGGTCGCATGATGCTGAAGTAGTGCGCGATGTGCCCCAACAACCTCCTGACCTGCCAGCGAGCCAGCCACGGCCTGCGTAGAACCTCGTGTAAACCAAGGTACAGGCGCCAGGCTCGCCGAGAGGTGTGGCGAAGGCGCCCGTGCCGCCCGTCGAACTCGAGACCGAGGATACCCTGAGACAAGGTGGCATGCTGCAACTCGTGCCAGCGCAGCCCCCTCTTGTCCAGCTCGTCCGTCACGGCGCCGAGGCGCTGGTCGAGCTGGGCGGCGTCCAGGGAGATGAGGTTCGCGTTGTCGACGTAGGGAGCGTGGGCGACCCCCCCGTTCAGCAGGGAGGGCGGCTTGCCCTTGTCCAGGCACCAGGAGTCCTTCTCCCCGAAGACGGCACTCATGGTGTCGATCAGGACCTCCTGGCAGATCCACAAGGCCCAGGACCATCCCATGGGAAGGGCTTCGAAGCAGGGCCAGACCCGAGAGTCTGGGCTGATGTCGACGTAGCGGCCGAGGTCCTCGTCGCACAGCTGAGTCAACCCCAGCTCGCCGGCGGACACCTCGATGTCGAAGCACATCCAGGAGCCTCAGGCCGGGTGGCGGAACTGGTAGAAGCCGTCCTGCAGGTCCACCGAGCCGGCCCACCAGGTCGCCCCCGTTGATCACGATGTCCAGGTCGTCGGGGCCGAGGTCGGTGGCGCCCACGAGGTTGATGGCCGCGAGTGCCTCTCCTGAGGCCAGCACGGTCTTGGGCGGGAGTCGCTGCAGTTGATTAGCCTGCCGAGCGCCCAGCACCATCCTCTGATCCCCGTTTTTCTTTCGCACGAAGAACGCGGAGATGCACGACTTCCGACGGGCCCGAGCACCCACGAGCCCCCGTAGGGCCAGAGCACGAAGAAAGGCCACGAGCGCAGGGCGAGTGCCGCGCCGGCGAGGGTCGAGCTGCGGGCCCCAGTAGGGTTGCACCAGCGGCTCGTCCTCGGTGAGCTCGGAGAGCGGGCGGACGACGGCCGAGTCGAAGTTGGCCATCACATCCCTGACGCTCTGGGGGGCCACGTCGTCGAGCGGCGTCGAAAAATGTTCCTTACGTAGGATGTTGAGGCGGCTCGGATCAAAACCGACCACGGTCGTGGACGCGTCGAGGCCGCCGTAGACGTCCCTGGTCTTGAGGAGCTCCTGTAGGGCTCCAGCGCCATCCATGTCCGTGGGCCGATCTCCGAAGGCACCAATCCGACTGCGGATGCGTCTGAGCGCCGACTCTTGAGCGATGTCGGCGCTCCCAGTCCTCTGAGGGGGCCGAAGCACGACGTCCCTCCCAGCACAGGCGGCGGCCATCCCATTGAGGGTCGTGATCGTCTCGATGGCACAGGCCGAACGACGATCAGCAGCGGCAGCACGCTGCGCCTTATACCGAGGCAAAGCGGTACGTCCCCCTCGCGGTGGATGCGAATAGAAGGCGCCCGCGACCGGAAGCGGGAACAAAGGTGGTGGCCCCCGCGAGGAGGAACCCTCGACGGGGGGGCAGCCGCGGTCCAGGGAGGAGGCCATGGCGACGCGGTGCGCCGTCGGCCGCGGCGGAGGCCGCCACGGCCGGGGGGGGCGCGGAGGCCCCCGGCTCGCTAACCTGCACCGCCAGGCCCAGCCCCGGCCTTGCCCTTCGGCTTGGCCTTGGGGCGCGGGGGCCTTGCCTCGTCCCTCTGCTCGGTGCGGTACTTCTTGTCCTCGTGGTCGGCCTCCTCCCTGTACATCCTCTCCTGCTTGAGCACGGTGCCCCTCGCCTTCTGCTGGTCGGCGACCCAGGCATCGAACTTGGTTGTGACCGCCCCGCCCGAGTCGTCGAGTCGTCTCGAGACCATCAGCTCCAGGCCCTCGAAGGAGGGGTGGCGAGGGCAACGCTTGACCGCCCTCTGAATCTGGAGGCCCCGGCGGCTCAGGAGCTCGAACGAGGCGAGGTTCGAGACGTCCAGCGCGTCGAAGACCAGGGCATGGTGCAGGACCTCGACGATGTTCTTCAGCTCCTGGGCCACCGCACTGCCACGCGCGACCCCCGACTGGGCCACCCAGAAGCCCCATTAGGACGAGAGCGAGTGCCCAGAAGAGACCACGGCCGCCAGAAACTCGACCAGGGCCTTGGGGCCCTCGAAGGGCCAGTCGTCGACCTCCACGCTCTTCAGCAAGGCCACCAGCTGCGCCAGAGAGACGGTGTGCGCAGACGCCCGTCTGCGGCAGCACACGGCGGTCCCTGCCAGGACCAGCCCTCTTCTCCGCCTTCAAGTCGGGCTCGTCGGCGAGCTGGACGTTCTCGGCGGCGACCCAGCCCTCGGCCTCCGACAGCATCACCAGCGCGATGGCGTCGCGGCTGATGAAGCGCTCCGCCGAGGTGATCAGCTCCAGGCTCACCTCCTCCCCGAAGTGGTCGCTCGCAGGGTCGGAGACGATCCACCTCGGGACGTCGACCCCCGCTTGCACCGCGGGGAGAGGGAAGCCCAGCACCTTCGCGAAGTTCCGGCCATCGCGACGGAGGTTGGAGAGGTCGGCATCCGAGAGGGCTCCGAACGCGTAGACCTGGCCTCGGACTCGCTGGGGGAAGGCGGCCGCCCGAGGAAGGGCGACCACCAGGTACTCGTCCAGCTTCAGGAGATAGATCTCGGCGTCGGGCGTGGCGGCCACCCAGTGCCCCGGCGTAGGCGAGGGAACCAATAAGACCCTGTGGTGCCATTTGAAATTCGGGTCGTCGTCGAACGCGATGCACACCTGGCTCTCGGAGATGTCGAGGGTCTCGGCCCCCGCGCGAGCCATCAGCCTCGGATGGCCCTAGGCCAGGAAGCAGGAGCGGCAGCGCCGTCGCCTGGCGGACGAGCCGGCGCCCGCGAGGTGAACCCGCGCAGGATGGCCGCGACGGGGGCGCAGGCAGCCAGCGCCGCCACGGCGCACAGCACGCCCAGGACCCAGCCCAGCACCAACCACGAGACCCAGTCCAGCGACTGCGGGACGGGGATCGGGCAGGACAGCTCGGGGCAGGGCCGCACGTCCGGCGCAGCCGGGCAAGCCACGGCGGGCGCCGGCGGGCAATTGCCGCAGGTGACGTTGACCGACCCGCAGGGAGGGCAGGCCGGGCAGGCGGGGCAACGGCTGGCCCAGACTGAAACCAGTGCCGCGCTCCACTGCCCGAGAGCCGCGAGGGGAACGGGCATGCGAAGCGGCGCAGGCCTTTGCAAGCCTTGAAACCAGAATGGCCGCGAGAGGGGAGAGCAGCAGCAGGGGCGACAAGCAGAGGAGAAAGAAGGAAGGGGTGGAGCCCCTCTCGCTTGGCCGCTCGACGCGGAGGAAAACTGCATCCAAAGATAATCATTGATTTTGTTTGTTTTCCTTGGGTTTTTTTTGTTTTTCATTTCAAAAAACCAAAACAAAAAAAAAAAACAAAAAAAAAAAAAAAAAAAAAAATGTTTTTTGGTTTCCCATTTCAAAAACCAAAAAAAAAACATAGAAACCAAAAAAAAAACATTGTGTTTTTGTGGTGTTTCACCTCAGAACCAAAAAAACAAAGGAAAACCAAAAAAAAACAAAAAAACAAACCCTGGAGAAGTCTTTCCCCCAAAGACTTTTGCAGGAATTGTTGTTTTTTTTTTTTTGTTTTTTGTGGCTTTCCTTAGGTTTTTTTGGTTTTCCATTTCAAAAACCAAAAGAACACAATGTTTTTTGGGTTTTTCATTTCAGAAACCAAAAAAACACAATGTGTTGTTTGGTTTTTCCTTCCGACAACCAAAAAAGCATTGTGTTGTTTTGGTTGTTCCTCCCGAAAACAAAAAAAAACATTGTGTTGTTTTGATTTTTTGATCTCAGAACAAAAAAACGAAGGAAAACCAAAAAAAATACCCTTCAAGAGATTTCCCCAGGACCTCCCCAGGGATTGTTTTTTTGTTGTGTTGGTTTTCCTTGTGTTTTTGTTTTTGATTTTCCAGCTCAGAACCAAAAAAACCTAAGGAAAACAAAAAAAAAAAAAAAATCTGTGGAGATTCCCCCCAGGATCTCCCCAGGGATTGGCTTTTTGGTTTTTTGGTTTTCCTTGTGTTGTTTTAGTTTTCGTATTCAGGCTTACAGAATTCTATGCACGAGCTCTGGGGATCTGTTTGCGTGCTATGAGTTTCTTATTGTTTCCCGCGCGCTTTACCGAAGACCTCTCCCGCCTCATCCCACCGAGGGTTCTCTGAGAACGTCTTGCTGGATTCAAGTCCAAAGGCATCGCGGACGGCCCCACGGATCTCCGAAAACCAGCCCGCACAGGGTTCCTTTCTGTATATATATATATATATATATATACATATATATATATATACATATATATGTGTGTGTGTAAATGCAGCTGGCGCCTCGGCGAGAGCGCCAGGGCGCCTGTAAGGGGTCCAACAAGAATAGTTGATTCGTAATGAACATTCAAGCAGAATCCGCGCCACAAAGTCCCACTTCAGCCACGCACCCAGGGACAGTGAATGACCACGATCGGCCCCCTCACTCTGACAATTCTCGCATCCCCGGTTCCACGATCCCTCGCAAAGTATACGATAGTCGCGTTTCCGAGGTCACGATCCCTTGCAAATCACTCTATATTCGGGCCCGTGGCCACGATCCCTCGTAAATTACAGATCCGCGTTCCCGAGGCAACCAACATTCGCAAATTACACAACATTCAAATTCTCGAGGCCAGGATCCCTGGTAAATTATGCAAGATTCGCGTCCCCGAGGCCACGATCCCTAGTAAAGTATACAATGGTTCGTGTCCCTGAGGTTACGATCCCTCGTAGATTATCCCATGTTCGCGTTCTCGAGGCCACGATCCTTACTAAATCACACTATTACTCGCGTCCCCGAGGTTACGACCCCTCGGAAGAAATCCCTCGCAAATCAAGCCAGATTCGCGCCCCCGAAGTCACGAGCCTCGCAAATGATACAATATTCGTGCCCCTGAGGGCACGACCCGTCGCAAATCACTCGATGTTCGCGTCCCCGAAGACACGATCCTTCGTAAACGATGCGATGTTCGCATCCCCGAGGCTACGATTCTTGATGAATTACAGAATACTGGCGCCTCCCAGGACACGATCCCTCGCATTAGTACAATCTTTGCGTCCCCGAGACGACCCCTCGTACACAACGCCGTGCTCGCGTGCCCCAGGGCCACGATCCCTGTTAAGTTACGCACGCAATGTTCGCGTCGAGACTAAGATATCTGATCATTTATGCCCTACTCGCGTCCCGACCGCCGACCCCTGCCTGCCGGGGGTGAGAAGGCGCGTGAGATGATTGGCTGTTCCACCGCCCCCATTCCCCCTTTCCGAAGGCAAAATCGGCTTTGAGGAAGGGGGGGGGTATCTGGGCTCCTCGGCGCACCCCCGGAGACTCCGGAGCGTCCAAATCTGCCCTCCGTGGCATCAAAGACGTTCCCAGACGGTCCCGAATCGCGAGGCGATTGGCCCAAGACGCCTATGATGGCTCGAAGATGTCCCAAGACGCCGTCGAGACGCCCCAAGAGCTTTCCCGGAGGGTTTTCCCACAGGCTTTTTCATGATTGCTGAGGTTATCGTCTTCTCGAACTTCCGACGCTCCAAGACGGCCAAAGATGCCCCGCAGACCGCCCCAGAACTGCCCAAGAGGCCCCTACGAGGGCCCCAGGGCGGCCCAAGAGGCTTCCACGACGGCCCCAGAGGGGCCCAAGTCGGCTAAAGATTGCCTCAAGAGGGCCTCAAGAGAGGCAAAGATGGAAACACGAAGCGAAAATCTTACCTTTGCGCCCCAAGACACCTCCAAAAAGACCCAAGAAGCCCCCAAGCGGCCCACAAGAGGCCCCCAATAAGCCCCGAGAGGCCCCCAAGAGGCTCAAAAGAGGCCCCCAAGGCAGCCGCCAACATGCTTCTAAACTGCCTCCAAGAGGCGGTCGTTCAAAGAGGGCCTCCGAGACACTGAATGAGGGGAAATTCGGGGGGGGGGGGGGGGGGGGAAAAGAAAAAAAACCAAAAACAAAAAAAAAAAAAAAAAAAAATGTTATGTGAACGTTTTCTTATTCGGCGTTGCGACAATAGGCGGAAAGGGAGGGGGGAGGAGGGGGTCTGGCTCCGGACATCTGCTCAATGCGACTGTCTGCAAAAGTGTGTCCCATGGTGGAGGCTCCAACCGCTTGAAACAGGCGCCAAAACAGCCAAGATCTCCCCCATGCGGGAGGGGGAGGGAGTGGATGCGAGAGCCCGCGCCGATCAGCAAAACAATCAATAAGAAAACCATCTAGAAGAAGAAACAACAACAACACAAACGTAAACTGTTTGCGGCCCGCGCGGATCTCTTGGATCTGCGCTGAACCCCCTCCCTGCGCGCGGAGCGCGCCAGGGGCGGCGCCGGAGACGCCGCCAGGGGGTCCAGGCGCAAATCCAAGAAATCCGCGCTCAGCGCCAGAAGTTTATGCTTATGCTGTTCACAACAGCATCCGAAATCCGGTCTGCTTTGAAGATTACCCATCGTCCTCGCACGAGGGCTTGATACTGCCCACGCCTTACGAGCGTCTACTCTGTCTCGTGCC